AGGAGGTTTAGCCTTTGGATTTCATCTATTACTATGGAAAAACCATGGAAAATGCCAACGAGGTGGTGTATCATGCTTGAAGTGAAGAGGATATGATTTTCACATTTGAGATGGTGTTGAGGAACAGAGCATACATTCTTCCCTGCAGAGGTAAGTTGGCAGAGGCAAAGATTTACTAAGTTTTGTTGGTCACATTCTAGTGCAGTGAGTTGGTGTGAGTTGAGTGAGATGAAAGAAAAATGAATCTTTAACTATGAGACTTTGGCAATGATAAAACAATGCATTTAAAGGAGTTCTTGAAGAAGAATCCAAAGGAACTTTATTGTAAAGCAATGTGGGACAGTGTAGTAGACTAGTTTGTTCGTAACAATGAAAGACATCCCCCAAATTTGTTTCTCTCTCCTGAAACCAATGCTGAGATATATCGCCAAGTGAGTAAGTGAGGTTCAAGCAGTAGCTTTACTAGGATGTAAATATTGGAAAGTGTCTTTCAGAGGACAATAGCTCTACAGTGTGAGGAACATCAAGACACGATATCGATGAGAATGGAGATTCAGCCATACCACAGTTGGAACCCCAGTCAGTACCAACATCTACATAATTTCATAAACTGCAGATACTCAGTACCCCACTTCCATAAAACCAAGCATGAAGGGGCTCATAGAAGTTTTAGAAATAACAGACTGTAGTTTTATAAGGTATTACTATTCTCGTCATTTCTTACAAAATAATGCATAACTTTAAAAGGAAGCATGAAAAGTTTGAATATAGACTTGAAAGTGGATGGGGTGGTGGACACCTTCATGCACTGAAGATGGAAAATGTAAAAAGAATGGTCTGCTTGCTCCTGCACTTGACTCTGAACTCCTGAAAAAGAATATGTATTTATCATCTCATTTCAGCACCAACAGATATATAAAAAACATCTGCTGGATGCAGAATTGGAAGTAAGCCATACTTAGGATTGACTTATATGCTACATTTCATTATAAGACTGAATGCTTTGGGGAGGGGTCCTATTGTTTTTATTTCTTCATTTGCTTTTTTTTTTTTGGCTATCATAGATTTTTGTCACTTAAATAATCCCCAAGCCATCACAACACACCAAGAAGGAAGAAAACGTGCTTATCAAACTGGACGTGGTTAGAAGAAAATTAAGGCCTTCGCCACCTGTTAAAACAACCTAAAATTAAAATAAAAATGCACAGATATTTGAAGCATAGGAAAAGCCAGAGTCATACTTTATATTCTGCTGAATCTAAACTATGAAATATTAGATGTGGGAAATCTGTAATTATATACACAGCTTGTGTACTTAAGTGAGAAAGTTTGGGTTACCATCAAGTGAAGGCAAATGATGTGTGTGGGATTAGTGATCACTTCCTGAGAAAAACGTGTAGTTGAGCAGTTGTAAGTAAATGGTGAATGGAGCATTTTTTAGGTGTACACCGGGTGTTCAAAACTGTAACATATTCCTACATATTTTTGTCTAGTTATTACATCTTCAGGAATACAAAAGCTCAGTTTTGCCACAAAACAAATCATCGAACCCTGATCATCCTCAAAAAGGGGATGCTCCACAGTTAAAGCGATGAAAAAGTCAAGAGGCAGAGAGTAGGTGATAGGCAGGATTCTGTCAGCATCTGAAAGCAGCAGGGGGCAGTAAAACATTTAGTCTGGTCCCGAGGACTGGAGCTGGGCAGTGGAGAGAGACCCGACCTTCCCTCAGGAAATGTTCTCTCTGTTTTATTCCAAAAGACTATTCTTTATTGCTACCTGCGTCTCCTTTCTCACAATACTGCATTGGGGGATAGCAAGATATAATGAACCTCAATATTAAGCAGAAGCTACTCATTCAGAGAAATAACTTTTGCTTCTTTCTTAATTAAATCCGAGGCAGGATCCATTTTCTCTCACAAAATATAATACCTATTCATATTTGGACCCCCTTTTCTACTCCTATGTACGTTTGTGTGGCAGTCTTAATAAGAAGGATAGAGTGAGACAAATGTGGATTATAAATGTGATAAGGAATGGAGTGCTCAGACTTTCTCTGTGCTCGAGTTCATTAATGTAATTTTTTCTGTGTTTTAATATCAGTACCATCTCATTCCATCCTCACAGACATCCTTTGTTCCTGATTGCATCTTTCTCTAGAATCCTCTTTATTGTGTTTCCATGAGTCCTAGCTGGAATCATTTACTGAATTGACTTCTGATTTCAGTTTGCTGTTGACTACTTCTTTTATTTTCCCAAGGAAAAAATACTAATATCTTTCATTAAATTCTCAATAGAATTATTCATATCTAGACTCCATATACTCAATTGTCTACATTTAAAAGAGTAAAAGAACAATAACATGGCTTGAGAGACTGAGGTTAAAGGATCAGGAGTTCAATGCCAGCCTCTGATGCATGAGTTCCCGTTCACAGAAAAAAATGATCATTTAAGTAGAATGTATGTTGTCCTTAAAGGGATGTAGATACCAGCCTCTGGGCACACAGGCTGCAGTATGACTTCTCTTCTGATTAATGCTGGATGTTTGTCTGGACCGTAATTGCAATTCCTTTCACTGAATCTTCCAAGTGTTACATTGAGATAGTCTGGAAGATAGGGATGACAAGACAGGATGCGACATTCATCAAGTGCTTAAGTGTGTTTCCGTGACTCTTCATGTCAGGTCTTGTGCAGCCCTCATTCCAACTCTTCAAACCAGGCAATGTTGTGCCAGTACTATAGAGGGCATGAAGCTCACAGGCTGAAGCTTGCCCAAGCTTCAAGTGAAAGCATAGGGCAGCACTGAAAATGAGATCAGCCCCTCCCCCAAACACATCCAGAGATCACAAGGTTTTCGCTACCTGGAAGTTATTTATTATCTACTCTGGGCCACACATGGCTTTAAAACTATTGATTCCACATTGAAGACAATATTAACCTGTCTTTGAAAGGATTACATTTCAGCAAGGGAGAGATTAAGGTAATTATTATGATTCTCAGTGATAAGGACTTAAAAAAAATCTTATGGGTACCAAGAAAGACACCATTAGTTATATCTGCCAAGAGGTGCATGTCACGCCAAAATGTAAATCAGAGTTTGGAGATGAAAAATCATAGAGGATTGCTAGTTTACTAAGGGCAAGTGCAGAAAGGCTACTCAAGCCAAAGAGACTGAGGTCAAGAAACTGGGCATCACAGCAGGGATGATCAATCCATCACTGGCTGCAAGTGGAACTCAGGGATTGTGTGTGTGCGATGAAGGGCGAAAGGCTACCACCTCAGCATAGACTCACAGTCCCCAGAGTACTCCAAGGTGTCAGTAGAAAACCTGCTGTCTTTAATCATGTGAGCACAGAGGTTTATAGTCTATAAATAGGCTATCAGAGAGGTCCTTTATACTGACATCATAAGGTCAGTAGGTCAATTCTGGGAGGGTATATCACCAGTACAGAAAACATAAGCTTTGAAGTCAAGTAGACAAGCTTTGGGCACCGGATCTCACACCTTTTAATCTTAACTACAAGCCAACTTGTCAGAGCTTCAGTCACTACCTCTGCTAAGTGAGGAAATCACTACCTCAAAAACAGGTGAGAATTTGAGGAGGCAACCAATGCCCAACAGGACAGGGGTTTAGTCAGCATGGGCTTTGTTCTGTGCTTATGTTTCCTATATTCCAATGTAAGTTAATAAAAGTGTTTCCCAAACAAGGTTATGTTTTGACGATAATGAAGTTCTATATATTGGTGTATAAACTGGAATGCAGCTCTAGTTATACTTACAGACTGGGATAAATACACATAAACCTGCAGCTAGAGAGCAGTCTATTTTTAAACATGTCTCTATGTAATTTAGTGAAAAGCTAGTAGAAGAGTTGAAAATGCTTTATGCTTTTCTGCCATTTTCATTTTCCATGGCGTCTTATTTTGATGTTTTGAAAATATGCCCAATTTTAGTATTTTATCATAAGACTCATAATAGCATCCTGAATTTCAAATTCAAAGCTAGACAAGGAGTGCAGTTTCTTTGGTTTGCAGGAGTGGATGATTAACATTAGTTTTTTTTTCTGCTACTGAAATGATATTTGCCCTGAGCTACATTATACACACTTTTAAAGTTAAAATGGTTGGTGCACTTGTACAATGAAGCTATTCTGGTGACCTTCAAAAACAAATTGGCTATTTTCTGATTCTTTTTAGGTAAAAACACTAAATAAAGTATGGACTTCTCCAATTTAGCGTTCCCTGGGCTAAAAACTCTACATGCCTGCAGCCTCATGTTCAATTTCTGTAGAAGGCACAGGAAATGCCTCTTGTTTATACCTACTTCATCTATTTCTTTCTCAGTCCCATCTGGTTACTTCCACAGAATTTTCTAATCTCCTATTTCATTTTCTCCCATTTTAGCATATTTACATTAGCTCCTTTCTTCAGCCTGTTTGTATAGTCAAAACCGAACTAGTGCCACCTTCACCTCCAAAACCACCAATACATCACCATCAGATCGAATGAAACAACTGTTCATTAGATGTTTCCCAACTTTGTTTTTTTTAAAAATATTTTTATGGTTTATTTAACTTATTTTATGTGCATTGGTGTGAAGTGTCAGATCCCCTGGAACTGATCTTCAGAGAGTTGTGAGCTGCCATGTGGGTGCTGGGAATTGAACCCGGGTCCTCTGGAAGAGCAGTCAGTGCTCTTAACCACTGAGCCATCTCTCCAGCCCCATTTGGAAAGATGTTATCTCCTCTCTACACTTGGGCTTCTTGTAATCATGTGTCTGTGTCTACTACCTATTTTTTTTAAAACAATTGCCCATTTCACTGTGATTATTTCTTCCCTTCCTCCTGAGCCAATTAGCGTTGTTATTAAACTTTTAAATCTCCATCTAAATTTGGTGATGGGTGAGTATTGGTCTTTATCAACTATTTTAAGAAAAATATATTACTATTGCCTCCTGATATAGCATTGCTTTTTCTAAAATTTCCTCATGCTCTTTTCTTCTAGGTAATGCTTTCTGAAGAATAATATCATTTTAAAGTTTTAGCTACAACTCCAAATATACAATACTTAAAACTGTACCTGTGAGAAAGGTCAGATCCATGAACTGAAATAATGTCTAAAGAACATTGGATAAAAGCATTGAAACCCTATTTAAGAAGACCAAAGTATGCTTTAGTGACCTTTTCTTCCATGTAATCTGGAAGTTGTTCCTTTGTCTATGTATGGCTGTATCTAAACACATATCCATGTTTGTTTATTTTTGTAAACTGTAGCGCACATATTTGCAATTATGATGAAGAAATTAAAGTTACACAATAAATGGGGTAAATTTGCAAACTGTTTTCTGCTTCAGTTTTTGGAATTGAGTTTTGTGCCTAGATGAGCTATGTGTGCATTCTGCCACTGAGTTACAGCCCCAACTTAAACCCCATCTCATTTATTATCAAGATGTTAAAACAAAGTATAACAACAGATATTCTTGTGCAAAAGGCAAATTTTATACCCTTTTTTGAAATTATGAAATGTTGATTAAAAATGTCTGAATATTAGCACTCTATATAAAGAATGAGGTAGTCTCTCTAGAACACTTAGTAGAAAATTTGCTGCATCATCGCTCATCATCCTGTTATTTTTCCTAATAAAAGTTAAGCTTTGAAGGGAGGGAATGAAAGGAGAAAGGTTCCAATCACATTAAAATCTCAAAAATTAAAAACAAAAAACCTGGAAAGTAAAAAAAAATGGTTAGGAAATGATTGGTTTAGGAATTCAAAAGTATTATAAATTTTGCTATAATTTTTTTTTAACTTTTTCCCTCATTTTTACACTACATGTCATTATTGTCTCCAAATAGTACTAGTTTGATTAGAGATTTTATTCTGATAAATACTCACATTTCATAGAAACAGAAAAGCATCTAGTTAGTGACTCTGTGTGTCTCTATCCTGGTAAGAAATCGAATATTATTTATAGAAGACTTGTTAAATTGTGCATGCTATTATAGAAGCTTGACTCCTTGCAGAATTAATTTAATTTTCTTTAAAATAGATTCTGTTAAGACACTCTAAATGTGTACCTATTAAGTTATTTGAGTTAGTATTCAGATGGGTTCTTACTGAGTGCTTGGGAACCTTTACAATTAACTTTATTTCCGTGAGAAGTTTGGCTTTCCAACACACGGAGTGCGATTTACATTGTTGCTGCCATAAGCTATTGGTATTTTCCCCGTTTTCCGGGCATAATGGAATAATAGTGTTTAGTCACAATGTGGTGTTTTCTAAAAGCTCATAAACTATTTCATGAATAAGATTAGCTAAGGAATTTAGTCTCATTTTATGACCATGACAGTTGAGGTGTGCAACACGAGAGCCTGTGTTTTCTGAACAGTCTCTCCGAGTGTTATTTTAGGGAAAACGAAACTCTTTCTTACAGAATCTGATATTGGGTTTCCACTAACTGCGTTAAATATCTAGTTTTAAGTTACAGCGTGGAAAATTAGGTCTATTCACCTATGTAGATATTTTATTGTGACCCAAGAAAAGTTTAATGGTTATAATTATCTGGAACTGTTAGGCACAAATGATGTGATCATGACTTTTTTCTTTATTGTGGTGTAGTATGTCCCCATTTCCTCTTCTGCAGACTGTCTTTGGAGCTTGCTGTCCTCTTCCTCAAATCCCCTTTTTTCTACTTCAGTTTAGCTTTTCCAGAGCCTGGAGGAGCATGGTTGGGGACTAAGCAGAGGTGTGACACTCAATTCCAACACCAGATTGGGACACTTTTCCTTCTTTGAGGAGTTGGCAACTCAGCCACTTCTTAGGATAGAGTATGTGTCCACGGAATGACAATTTACGCTTCCCTGTCAAGACTATTTATTTGTATTTCAACACTGACAATTTCCACTGAAATTCTTGGTCTCTAAGAAAGTCACTTTTGTCATAAAGAACTTTTAAAAGCCTAGAAAAAGAAACAAACCACTGGCAGAAACACACACACACAAACACATATACACAGACTCACAGACAAAGATGGACACTTTAAGACCACCAGAAACAATGGTTGGAATAGGTGTTCCAATTACAGTCACTTTGGTGGCTTACTAAATTAACTCCAGTTCATAAATAACAAGTATATCCTAAAATAAAAGCATAGACTATTGAGAAATGATTTTTATATCACCAGGAAATTGTGTATGGGGGGTGAGATGAATCTTAATATGCCTAAGAAATGAAAGGTAAATTATATCTCATATGTATTATAACTTCATATTAAGGTAAATTTTCTCCTTTGAGAAAATAATGCTTCATAATTTTAAGGGTGTGGATTGTTAACACTGTCATTTTCAGTACATAATCAGCACTATGTTAAACTTTTTTATAAATTTAGAGAAATGACACGTAGGTTGAAATAGATTTTACAGATCACATGAACATTGAAAGTAAAGTTCTCCTTACATATCCCCATCACTTTAAGTGAAAAGTGGAAATTTAATTTATGTGCTATTGATGATTGTCTTGGCTTCGTGTTATCAGAAATTCATTTTAACTTTTCCAACCCTATTTTCAGTAGATGGTATTGTTGTTATTCAGCTGTTTATGTGCTCAACCTTAGACCTTCATACACTCGTTGTTGTTGTTTTGTTTTGTTTTCGGTCTGTCAATGAGTGTTTTCTCACATATTAAGGAGATTGACAAGAAAGGAAAGTGCCAAAGATGAATAGCACAGGTTCTGAATTGCCATGGCAAGCCATGTGGTCATTGGGAAGCAGGTTTTTCATTTCGTGGTGTGAGTCAATGGATTTCACAGTGGCATTTTACTACAGCAATGGCTTTTTTTGGGTCCAGCTTCAGGCATGATGGCCTTTGGTCTGTCCCCAACACTTATTTTGTTCCTTCCTGCCTGTATCAGTTTTTTAGATGAGAAATTCTTGTTTTGATAAAAATCTATAATGCAAAGAGAGCAATCTGGGTCTAAATATCAGAGATGTTGACAACAGCAACAACAAAAACTAACCAAGAATAGCTTACCCTTTCTGCTAATTTTAAACACACAGCTAAATGTGTAATAGCCTACTGATAATCCTCACTTTTTTTTATGATATACAATTCAAAAGTTAAAAGCCGAAATGTTTTACTAACTTACCTCAAAGTACTAGATTTTAGAGTTATGGAAAATATTCTAACCTGGTATAGTTCCATTTTGTTCGGGGGTTATGCTAAAGCATGACATTTAGTGCTTTGAAGTTTTTATATGTCCTTTTATGATGTTAATATATTTATCATCATTCATTACTGTTTAATTATCTTATAACCTCAAGTGTTTGCATAGTTGTGTTATATATTATGAATATCTCTGACACTAAATGCTGAGTTTGTAGCTTGTCATGATTAAGGTTTTTTTTCTTCATTTGCAATTGGGATAATGTTTCTAGACTGGTTATACAATTTTGTTTGTAAATCACATTGATTTGATTAACTGCTTTCTCCTGGAGTCTCTTTTCTCAGCATTTAGTGTCTTGCAAGATGTAGCATCCTGATATCTTTCTTTCTCCTGTTTCATCATTCAACATCAGTCTTCAATGCCTGAGTGCCGTGGAATTCATGTAGTTTAGTTATTATAAGATATGCAACATATTTATATATTCTATTGTTGTGTAGGTTGTTATTTACTGAGACCTTGTGTTGGCCAGGTTCTGTTTTAGATACTATGTAATATCTGTACAGGTCTTTTACCAAAGCAAATAACCTTCTTCTCTAAACCTAGACAAATCAGAGTTAGCCGTGTAAGCTCTCCTTCATTGTCCATCCTATTTACTTTAAAGCCTTCAAGCTAAGTTCTTGACTCATAATATATTCAGATTCTCATGGCCTGGTTTATAAAAGAAAAACTTGAGCAGAATGAATGTCGTTTATTTCTCATATAAAACAATGTTCATGAGTTGATTAAAAAATGGGAAACCATGTAAAGGAAGTGGAGTAAATGATGTTAGCAGGTAAAATACAAACGAAGAAACACAGCTGGCTAATAAATTCATGGAAAGCTGCCCAAACTCACTAGCAATCAAGGAAATGCAAATAAAAGTGAGGATATCCGCTTTTTTTTCCCTCTCTCATAAAACTGGTAAAAGGAAAAACTGTTGATACTGCCCAGCATTACTGAAATGCAAGGGAAATGAGCACATTTCTAGAGAGAGATCTGGAGTGAAACTTTCCTGGAACGTACCTTGCATCACCTAGTCAAGCTTCAGCTAAAAGAGACCCAGACTTTTGGTTTGATTCAGCAGTTTGTACTTCAGTCATTTGTGTTGTGAGTTTGAAACACCAAGATGCAAAACTGTCTTTAACACTACACAGCATTGCAGTTTGAGATAGAAAAGAGTTACAAAAGAAAAAGCTAGGTTTCCTCACCAAGAGCCATTACAAGACAAAGTAACCCATACATGAAAAGATGTCTCCAAGGCAAAACAGCTTCTTTTGTGACTTTGAGGGAAAAATAAAAGAAACATGAAAAAAATGAACGGTAGTCCCAGTGAATTTCAATAAACTCTGGTGTTTGCAAAGTATACAACATCATACTATGACAGTGAGTTCAACCCCAAGGTGAGTGTCTGTTCTCATTTATTATGTCAAAAAGCAAGGTTGCACCGGGCGGTGGTGGCACACACCTTTAATCCCAGCACTCCGGAGGCAGAGGCAGGCGGATCTCTGGGAGTTCGAGGCCAGCCTGGTCTACAAGAGCTAGTTCCGGGATAGGCACCAAAGCTACAGTCTCGAAAAAACAAAACAACAACAACAAAAAAGAAAGATTGCCTGCTGACAAGTTGCTATGACCCCACAGGTTTTATTTTTTTATGAGACAGAGTCTCATGTATCCTAGGCTGGCTTCAAATTCACTATGTAGCCAACATTGATCTTGAACTCTTGATCATCCTTTCTCCGTCTCCCTAATACTGGAATTACAGGTGTTCCCTGTCATGCCTGGTTTGTGTGATTCTGGGGTTGAGCACCCCACCAACTAAGCTGTATCCCAAATCTCCCCATACACTTTCAAAAAGTCTATTTTCACCTTCTTTTTCAAATTTGGCACAGTTTTATAAACATAGAGAAAAGCCAAGGAAATTAATCAAACTCTTAATATTTGTCATTTCAGTGAGAAGGCC